ATTTCCCCGTTCATGACAAAGTTAGAAAGGCCCAGCGGCTTTGAGTGGCAAGTGGGTGCCATTCCAGGTCACTGGTTGCTCGCTGTCTCCTCTGCTGCGTCACCCAGGCCCGCCTCAGTTCTATCTACGATCCACTTCTTTGCCCAGTTTTGGATTAGACGGGTGTTAGGATGCGTCATCGCTGCCAAGATGCCGTGGGCTGGAGCCACCTAATCTAAACATCACAACACCTCCTCAGAAATCCTATGGCTGACGTCACAGAGACTACGTCCATATTTTATACAGTCTATGGTTTGAATAAGTAGGTAATGGAAAATAATTTCTCAACAGGAATGTCTTAAGTTGCCTACTTTGTATTTCAGTTTTGATCATTCGCCCAACAAATTTAACATTATTATACATTTTAAGTTTTGCATGCACCTTTCTGTAACCGGACTAACAGGACGTGGAATTTTGTCCGAGAGATGTGAAAAACATTCAGGACCACAAGTGATACAAAACTTCAAAGCTTGCATGAGCAACAGACGTTAAGATACACATTCGGGAAAACTCCATTTCATCATGCTCTTTAGCACCCATATCACCCTCGCCCCACCCTTTATCACCTCTGTCTCCATCAATTTTACACAGTATATTTCAACTTCCTACGTTGTGTTTGCATCACATTATGTTGATGCTTAGTCATGACCCACCCAAAATAAGTTGCACACAGCCTGAAAGGAATGCATCATTTCTTAATGCCCACACATTTCAGCAACTACATGCCTGAGAGTTTGTCAGACCATATTTGTTTGCGCAGTATTTTACCGTATGGCCAAACAGTGGCAAAGTTTCAAATGGCAATATGTCTGGCAACACATTTCCACGGCAGTCACAAAGCTTCTTACTTTGAGAAATGGGAGTCTTTCAAAATCATGAATCAAACTTTAATTTTCATTGTCAAATTGGTTTTGCGTCGTGTTTTCTTTTTCTGTTTTTTTGAGGAAAATCAAAACTGCACATTTTACCACGTTTCATTACAGATTTCATTACAGATGGTCCAGCTAATTCGCTAGGTCAATATGTTGACATTGTACGTTTCTGAAAACCAGGGATATGCGTTGAATGGAGACCTTTTTGCATTCGGTCAGAGCAAGTGACGTGGTATATTGCGTGACCGTTACATTGAAAGTTACGTGGTCTGAAATGTATGTGGTATAATAACGAGTGGGAAAGTCCATTAAGGCTTAGTGAGGAGGTCAAACAAACAACAGGACTCTCACCCAGGAGACCACTGCTCATATCCTGTGTGAAACTAAGAGCACATGTTGACTTTACGCTTGTTACGAAATGTTACGTTAGAGTGTCCGCTAAGGGCGGTTGTTGTTAAGTTACGTCGTTATGGTTGTCCTGTTAATCATGTTAGTCACGTTACGTTGGTTCATTATTATTTGAACACAAACCATGATGTTTTTCTTATCCTTAACAAAGTAGTTTTGTTGTATAAACCTTATCGTTACACAACGTTAACTCCATGTCCTTGTGTGTTTCTGCATCGACGAGCGTGACATGTGGCTTATATGAAACGTATTTCTGAAACGTATTTCTGGTTCAGAAACATTCCCAGTCAACGTATTCCATGTAGGGCAAATTTGTACGATTGTAACATTTTTCTGGCGACTTGGTTGAATGATCCTACTTAGAACTGTAAATTCCTTCTGATTAAAACAGGAGGAAATTGCAATTTTGTTTTTGCCTGTAAATTAGAATAATGCTTATCTGTGTAGAAGCAAACAGTCATTTATAGCTTCACTCACAAATTCCCTTAGATTCCCAGAGATTATATATATATATATATATATATATTTACATATATATATGTAAATAGATAGATTGATTTGAGAATGTATAATATATTTTTTTAATTTTATTTTAACGATCAATTTTTTGGTGGTATATTTAAAAGGATTTTTTATTTTTTTCACAGTTTTGCTAATGTGCTCATTCTGAAATAAACTGACACAAGATATTGATGAAATTGCTGTCCTATCTGTTGTATTGAACCAATCAGCATTGTACATTTAAATCTACCACTCAAGGACACTGGCGCAGTGGGAGAGGGCACTCTCTGCAAATGTGTACCTTACTCTTTGGAAGTATGCTTGAATAGATGAGCAAGATTGCCACTGCAAGGTGGTGCTCAGTGTTTTGCAACATACAGAAGCCATCACAAATACTGTTCACACTTTATAATAAGGTACAGAGAAATATAAATAATTATTAATGAGTGAGGAACAAATCAGGAATGATCTAATGATATACGTATAATATAGAAAACAGACTGCAAGATACTATATTAAGTAATCATCAGGTAATGATTAGTTCATATGTATCCAGATTTACTCTGAACCAGCCATTGAGTGGCACATACTAGTCACCATTCATTCATTACTTATAATTACTTAATCATGAGTTGCTACTTTTGTGCATCCCCGATTATCAGAGTAGATCCTCAGACTTCATGATTATCTAACCACTCGTACTCTTTTTGCATCCCTAAAAGCAAAGCATCATCATACAAAGCAAAGGCAGTTTCTAGGGGTGGCCCTTTAAAACAAAACAGTTTTGATTGAAGTGTGTTTTACAATGCTTCACCAACACATCTCTCAGCTGAATCAATAGGGGACAAACACACACACACACGCACACACACACACACACACACACACACGCTGCACTAAAAGGTACTTGTGGCCATGATTTTTTTGTATAATACATGTTTAAGACAAGACGATAGAGAATAAACTACTTGATTTTTTATTATTTAATGACTTTTTGAAAATTCGGAAATCTTGTTCATCCAAAGTAGATGCTGACTTTTTTGAACTAAAGAAATAAATAATAAGAATACTTATCACATAATGGAAAGTATTTTTATTTTTCTAATGTGAAATAGGATTAACAGGGCGGAAAAGATCTTTGAATTGCAGATGGCATCCAGTTGGAAATGACACCATCCATATGCTTGGGTTTTCTTGTGTTACTTATGCTATTTTGAGCTTGCATGTTAAGGGACAACACTGGACAATGATGATGCTCCATGATAAGATAAGTAATATACTGATTATATTATAATAATCAACTGATTTAACCTTCAGTGAGTGTGGGCCTTATCATCTCTTGATACTGCTTTGAGCTGCAGCCAAAATCCAATAACTAAGCCAGTCATCCAGTCTCCTTCACCATTATATTATGCAGTTGAAGCAGCTTAGAGAGTGATATTACGCTGAAGCATGCTTTGAATTATTTTAATTTACCCCAGATACAGGGGTGAATCGAGAACCCGAGCCAAAAGTGGCCTAGAATGAAAACTAAGAATTCATTCTTCCCTCACGAGCCCTTTGGGCCAAAGGAAGCCTTGGATAAGAAGTACAGTTGGAGATTAGTGTGGATCAAAGTGGAGATTAAATAGGATGTCAAACACATTGATGCACCTAATTATCAAGTCCGTGAAATGTGATGACTTGCTTTGATTCTCAGAGATGTCGTCACTGAGGTGATTGTGCAATTTCTGTCACTGACTATAAACTAATTCAGTGGTTGACATATGATTCACAGCGAGTACCTGTAAACTGGGAAAAGCAAAGAGGGATATCAAACAGTAGACTGGGAGCTTCCTACAGTACAATACACAACCCGAGGTGGCACTATGACTGATGGAGCAGAGTGGAAACGAGCAACGTGTGACACATTCACAGGCCCACAGACTCGCTTCTCCATCTTACCTCTCACAACACACCTGACTACATTATTGCATTGCCCCAGAGCCCTGCAGGATATCAGTAGTGATGTCTCATACCCTCCAAAACAACATCATGAATAATAAAGGCCAGATCTCAAAATAAATAACACACATTATTAATGTATTCAGAGCCTCCTTTAAAAGGGGCAGCTGTAGGTGCCAGAGGACCCCCTTCTGACGATGAAGATCAGTCAGAGGGAGAGGTATTGTATTACAAATTTCAGTTTGTGTGTGGGAAGGATTTTTCAGCAGTTCAATTTAGCGCAAGAAGCAGAGATTGTATGCATATCCCACGTAACATGGAATCACCGCCATCAGCACTCTGATAAAACTTATATTACATGGAGCTTTGTGCTTAAGTTCTTAACCCCTTATGTTTGGATAAACCATTACACTATGTGTATATGTCTCCCCATGTTTTAATCTGTCAGCTCATACTGAAACTTGGCAGAGCAAATAGCAACGCTGAGTAGTCTTGACTTAAGTGTGGTGTGTACAGTATATTCCTTTTGATCACTGGATGAGACCTACATGGCATACCCAACATGATTATTACATTATCTAATTGCATCCCAACACATGTATTATTCAGGCTCTGACAACATAATACTCTCGGGGAAAGGAATAGATCTGTGTGCCTTAAGCCGTCTCTGAATGACACTTTACTGCCTTTTCCTCGCTTCTGTCAAAATACCAGCTTTTTTCGAGATGGTTTCCATAAAGTGATGATAAGGAGCATGGTGTGGTAAAAATGTTGATTTAAAAGCCTACACCACCACTGCGTCTGTAATTCACATTGTTAATGTCAAGCGATCTTTATTTGTACGAGGATGCTGAAAGCATAACCAATAATCTATACACCAGCATTCCCTTAAGTAAGATTTTTTTACCCGCCCTTGCCACTCCAGGAATAACTGGCCCTGTGAGTCTTGTATTTGTCTTCCCCTTTCTGGAAACAAGGTCACATTGTTTACAATGGCAGCACACACGTCTTTAACGTTCTCCAAGGACAGAGTGATCTTTACTGTGATGCTTCAACAGTGCTCAGGACTCACATCAGTTAAAACCTAAAATGTATACGTTTCATGTCTGCTGAAAGGATGTTTAATAATGCATTTTACAAACACATAAATGTTGTGTTTAAAGTGATGGATTCCGACTACAATATCTAAGATTTCTGCCAAAGTTTCACTTTGAAGAAGGAAGTTTTTCCACCAGCAAAGATTCTGTGGTCTCTAAAGCTACATCAAGATAAAGGGTATGGCCACCAGTGATGGTTCCCACACAGCAAATAACAGCTAAAGTAAAATCATTAGGCAAGACAGGCATGTAGCAACATCACAAACATTAAGAAAGAGAGCACTCAAAAGTGACCTCAGCAGTTACATGTGAATGACATGCAAATGCTGTGGGTTCAAAGGATATTAAACAAAAACACTGCTCAGCTATCTTAAAGCGCAAAGAGGGTTTGCACCTTAATAGGTTTCATTCCCTCCCTCGGCCAGAGCCGAAGAAAATGTGAGGCGAGAAGAATGGAGTGAAGAAATTGAGTTATTTAAGGATGTCTCCTTTGACTGGAAAGCAAGAGGGCGGTGCTCTTTACTACCATATGCCAGAGACACAGACAGGCAGGTCGACAGTTATGAAGACAGATGAATGAAGCAACGCCTTCAGCACAGAGGGAAATGAGATCAGATGTTGACAGCGCGATGGACAGATCCCTGGTCTGGCATTCAAATGTTTCCTCACATCTATCACATGATCTGAACGCCTCCTCTTCCCAGATAGACATGTTCTCACTCTCCCATCTGCATTTTTTTAAGCTCCATTATACATGTTGTATACTTTGACTGAGTTTAGCAGAATATGTGCATTACAGCAGGTTGCCTGAGATAAACGTTTCATAAGAAATAATCTTTCTGAAGACCTGAAGTCTCCTGTGTCAGCGGCCATGCGAAAAAATCTGCAATGTGCATTTCATAATTCATAACACAGAGCCAGCATTTATAAATGGGGTCTAAAGTGCTGAAGCCTGAGAAAGATTCTAACACATATTAAACTGTCTTCTGAGTAGTCTGACTTGTCACAGTACTCCCCTCATGTGCTTCACATTTATTCCCTTCTGTGACTATGGTTACTAGAATCTTCACCACAAACAATCATGAGAGCCTGTTTCTCCTATGGTACCCTGCATCGTTTTAAAATACAAATATATATCGTATATATATAATCCTATACAAACAAAACGCAGTCTGTCATGAGAGAGCAATCCAATGCGACAATCAGGTTGAGGCCACTATCATACAGCTAACAGGCGATGGGAGTCGGTAGATGGCAGTCGTGTCCTATTTGCAGGCGACACATGGGAGGAAGCTTTCTCTTTATCCGTCTCCCCTGTCCATCTAAACACCCCCCCTCTCTCCCTCTCTCTCACACTCATGCACGCACCGTGCGCGAACAATAATGTGCGTTTGTTTGCCAATATTAAGACAGAACATTGAAAGAGAATGACAAAGGTCAAGAATCAACTAATTAATACCAGTCCTCCGAGTGAGATTCGGCGCACGGACTGCCTGCATGCAGAGTGGACATTGTCGGGCTTAAGAAGTTCAAACAGAGCGATATGAAGACTGAAAGAGAAGGGAAACAATATGTGCATGCCCTCACCGCTACAGTCCTGCAGCTGACAGCAGCGCCGAACAGTCTCACTTGAATAGCTTAGTGGGAGGTAACCTACATGATGCCCCCCTCTGCATTTATCAATTCAGTGTCCGCCCGTGCTTCACCGTGTGTTTTATTTGGATACGTAAATGCCGAGCGCATTGAGGTACTGTAAAGCGCACCGATGGATGCAGCCTGCGTGCGCGTGTTGTTACGGGGTAATTTGTGAGCACATTTGAAGCAGCTTTAAACACACTGCAGATCAGAGAAAAGAAGACCGGGCTTGGACGAGCAGCACTCTGTGGATGATAACCTGTTAGTCATTTCTTACCCTCGTGTGTGTCACAGCAATGGATGTGTGAGGCTTGAATTGATGAAATGCATAGACAGATGGAACGAGCGCGCAGAAGTGATTACTGCCTTTGGTGAACTATAACTCCCGTCCAGACAGGCTCGGCGCGGAAACCGTGTAAGAGTTGAGCCCTCGGTGTACAACGAAGGCTCTTCACACTTGAAGCCGTTTCTGATGGGGGTTGAAAGGCTTTTTGAGGATAACTGCTGGATTTTTTTTCCCGATGTTGCACCCCAGATTAACGCATTCTTCCTCTCAGAAATGGAGCACGGAGCAACCTAAAGAGAAGAGAGAAATATTGTGTAATCTCGACAACTTTATCAAGTCACCAATGCATAGGATACCTATTCACTCTCTAAACCGCGGGACTTCGCTCATCAATATCACCAAGAGAGGAAATAGAAATAAGCATCTCGAATTCCGCACTGGGTTGTGAGGTGAAATCTAATCAGACTCAGCAGGGTTGATGACTAAGAAGTAATTGGGACTTGAAGAAAAGTTACGTTTGAAAACGACAGCGAGCGGGACGTTAAAATAACCCCACCTCTCCCCATCTATGTGTGGATGATGGTCTGTCATACAGTCAAATGACGTGCTTTTAAGGATGGATCTATCTGGAAATTGACCACATGATGTTCTCCGTGCTCTACATGTTGGGGAGAGGTTACTTTTTAAACATTTAATTTAAATCTGAGAGGATATAATAACAGTATTAATTCACATCCACCTAACTCATCCCCAACTCGTCATTTGGAGAAAATTAACCGGGGACCACATCGGGAGAGTTGTTTCTTCAATGGCACTTGTGGGTGCCTCCGTGTTATGTGCGTCCTGAAAAAAAAGAGGAAATATCTGATGAAATTTCACTGTGAGAGTTATTAGCATGTCCATCCAGACTGATGTGTGGATTACATACCACGTCGTTTTGAGAGAGGGGACGCAATGTGTCTGACAAGAAAATATCACCACGGATCCGGCGAAATCGTCTGAGAATTGCGGATGTTTTTTCGATGCAGTTTTTGGGGAGGGAGCGGGAGAGGGACCGATCTCCGTCTAAATCAGAGACCCTGCAGACCTCGGCGTCTTTGTGAACAAGTAAGTTAGTGTTTGTGGTGTAAAAAAAAGATGTTGATTGCCTCACTCATTCCTCAAACATAACTGCCCCGTCCGCCTGTTCTTCCTGTTGGATGTCCAAATGTGCTAGTTGTCCACCTTCTTTTGATGACTGCAGTAATATGAACTAATTTGGGGCACAACATTGCCAAGGATTTACCCTCACTGATACTGCGGCCTCTAACTAAAATATCTCTAATCGTGCGCTGATTTTAAAGATATAGGAGAAGATGCGCGCGCTCGTGTGGGTCTGCTTGCGTTTCGCTGCGCGCCCTTGGAGTTGAGAGCGCGAGCATCACGCTAAGATGTAATGAACAGTAGAAAAGAGAGTTTAGCTTTTCTATAAAACAGGGCAAGTCAAATATTTGTAATGGGTAGTAAAGAAAATGCGTGCATTCAAATTTTAACACGATGCATGCGCTCAAGGCAAAGCACCCATCCACCCTCCGTCCAATGTATGCCTGCATGCTCTCAGCCTTGAGTATGTGCCATATTTAGCACGGGTATTTCTATGCTATTTGACCTTTGATAAATAATTCAGAGTATAAAACATGTAGTTTTGACATTTAACATGTATGGGTTGCATCTTTGGAATCGCCTACATCGTCAAACTGGTCCTTGTATCACTTCTTTTTCTTCTCGTGGTTTACACAGAAGGCGCTTGTTCACTGCCACCGTGGAAGCCTGGGAGGGAGCTGTCCTTCTTACGTGGTGCTGAAATTAAAATCTGCCGTCTTCGCTCTGCCTCTGCTCAGCTGGAGAAGACATGGCTGTTGTAGTTCATAGCCCGAGAATCTGAGTCTGCTAAATATAATCCTTTCCCAGTATGCAAGGAAGCAACAGATGACACATTTGAGGATTTATGCCTGTGATATACAATAAGTTAAAACGTGAGTTGCAGTTGTACCAAATTGTATTGGAAAACAACATTTTGTAAGTTAGTTAAAGAGACATAGGTTTTATATCTATCTATTTATCTATCTATGTGTCGGTCTGTCTATCTGTCCGCTGTCTATCTACCTACCTAGTATTTTAGGATGAGCTGAACAACGGTTGGTGAAAACACATGTTACATTTTTCATATCAGTGCTTTTGAACTCAGTAGCAGGTGAATTTAAAAAAATAGATCATGTTGATGTCATGTTGGTTATAAACTGTTGTGGGTGGTAAAGGCATAAATTGAGGTGGTTGTCACTCCTCAGACAAAGAATGAATTGCATCTCTCACCTGTGAAAGTGAGAAACATGGCGGACATTATTCACCCGCTGAAAGAAAAGCCCTCCATATGATGGAGTGACATCACCTTGGGGAGACAAATTAGACTGCTGATTTTATGTTTTTGCTCTGTCAGAGGCTATAGGATGATGAATCCCCCTATATAGGCCTAAGATTGCAGTTGTTTGTTGGCAAATGGTGCAGAATGATTCATATAGTTTTTATTGTTTGCTTTGGCTCAAGTCTTGATGAAAACATTTATTTTAAAACAATAACTTCAAATCTCTAAAGTTAAGTTAAGTTAATTGAAGATATTTTAATTACTCATTCATTCAAACTAATTGCTCTTGTTTTTGCATAGGTGTGCAAAAGAGTAAGTGCAATTGTCAACAATTTGGACAATAACCACTTACACATGTTTTGCTGATCAAAACCGATGAGTTGATTCTCAGTGAAAATGTCAGCTTTGAAACTGTGAAATGTACATATCCCTTTTTTGTGTACTCTAGTATTGTTCAGTCTGGACTTTTCTCATTTAACCTTTCCCTACTGTTGAAATCTGAATCTGAAAACCTCAGTGTGATGAATGAAAGCTTTTAGCTAGACAACACTGACATCATTGTATAGTACAGTAAGCAGTGAGTGTCAACAAAAACGAGAGCAACGTTTTGTACATGAGAAATATTTCCAGGGTTGACTGCCCTGATGACAAATGGCAGTGGCCAATTGACTCACATAATACCTAGAACTAAGTTTTGAATCATGAATTAAATGTTTTGGGTGACTTACTAGCTAGACTGTTTCAAAAAATGAGTCAACGCGATTGAGGAAGACTGTCATTTGAAAGACTATTCCCCCTCCCTATTTAACATTCCTCAAACCTTCTCATCCCAGAGGAGATTTCCTTGAAGATGAATGTGGGCTGTAGATTTAGGATGTCATAGGCAACATAAAGATCAAGCCAACATAGGGAGCTAATGACCTTAAAACGGACTAATTCACTGGGAAACTGTATCTTGATCAATATTTATTTCACTTTGCCAGGGTGACAACATCTGTATCGCCAGTGTGCCCCTATATTCCTTCTAAGCAGTGGAAGGGAAATACAGTAGCCTTAGTGCAGGTGCAGCAGAGGGACCAAGAGGGGCTTCCTGCTGCTCACACAAAGCCCGTCCTCAGCTGATGATGTTGCTACCATAGATATCTGTTTTATGTCCAATTTCTCCAGCCATTGTTGTCTGACGTATCTATTAAAAATCATTGCAAGCAGCCATGTCAGAAAATTAATGAACTTGTCAACTGGAAAAGGGCACTGCTGCAATGAGGTGCCAGGGTCTTGCAAAGCGACAGACTGTATACCCATGTTCCCTTTCCACACTCCCTTTGTCATTTTTTTTCTTTCTCAGCCTGTGACTCAGTTCAGATCAGGGCCAGCACTTTGTGCCATATAATAAAACGTTCACTTCTCAAATCGGATTAATCTCTGTAAAGCCCAGCTTAGGACACCATTAGCATTCTTTTCTTTCACTGCCGGGGACTTGTATCAATAATGGAGCTACCCCTACATTTTTCATCTTCTCTGGGTATAAAATCTCACAGGGGGTGTCATTCAATGAGAAAGGGAACAGTTCCAGTGATCCGTTATCTACTCCCTTGCTTTTTGTATTTGAGACCAGCAGTGCGATGCAGGGGGTCTGAAGTAGTGGGCCAGATAGGAGCCCTAACGCTGGAGGTTAAAGAAGCCTTTTTATGAAGACCAAGCTGACAGCATCCACATGATGGATTACAGTCACAGAATTCAGAGCACTAACAATACATATTGGGATTGAATATGATAAGTATATTACGTTTGTTCATGAACCCACATTCAAATATTCCATGTGCTGCATTCAACTTCCTTTAAATGCCCACGGAGCATTATTTCTATTGTAATTAGCAAAGGTTAATGTATGCATGAATGTGCCCTTATTACCAGTGATAATTCAAATCCCTTAAACAAGTGTTTCAGCACTGTGGCAAATGTTTCATGTCTCTCAGCTGTAGTTATGTGATTTGAAGCTTTTTCAAAGTGCATCACCGCTGATGATTGCTGCTTTTAGACAGAAAGCTCAGTCTCATGGGGAATAATCACGCATATTTTCAGAGGCAGGCAGGATGAGAGTCACCTTAAAAGGAATTGACGTTTGGTAGATGCTGTCATAACCCGGCAGTGAGTAAGCTCAAACGTGATGGTCACTGACGCGTTGTTGCAAGTCTGCATCACAGGCAGCTATTGTGAATGTGATAAAAAAAAAAAAAAAAACTGTGCTGCCGTGAGATGATGCACTGCTTTGAAGAGAGTGTTGTGTTCTGATAGGTTGGCTGTAAAACATGTAGCAGTTTGTCACTGTTTTGTCACTGCAATATCACCGTCAACATAGAATCCCCATATCGTCTTTATAGAGGAAACAGGGGTTGTTTTCTGTTATATCCCTGTGGGTGATCATCTCAACCTGGTACTGTATGTTGTTCATGCTTGTATAATATAATACACTGTAACCTGACACAAGGAAGCATCTTGAGCGCAGCAAACATTCATAGACAGACATGAATGGTATGTGCCGTATAGTCCCACTCATTAGTCATCCTCTCCAGCATGTCTGGCTGAATGTTCTGTCCAGGGAAAGAACAGCTGAGCAGGGAGACGGCTGCAGCACATTCCGCCAGTCGATGGATTAATCAATTGGTGTTCCAGCTCAGCCCATCCATCTCAGGGAATAATCTGGGAGACATCATAAAAGTGCCATTCTGTCATTCTAGAGGCCAGGGAGCATTGCTCCTTTTTTCTGTCCCTCCCTATTGCCACTCTTGCAGTGGGAACAGCAGAGGATTAAATTGAATATAGATAAGCATGTTCAGCGTGGCAACATTTTGAGGTGTTTGCTTGTGTTTTTTGCTATTTTGAAACATTACAGCTTGAAATATTTGTTGCTGCTCTGACTCAGGGCTAAAAAAAGGATTCTTCAAACTCTTCTATTACTATCTCCCTGTTTCCTCGCTTCCTTCGTAAAATTCAGCTAAGAGCACTGACCTGAATTCAGGGTGCATCATTACTCACCACTCGCCTTACATCACCCACCTTGCCAGTCGTGATGATGGTGTCTTTTCAACTTAGTAATCCTCACCTTCCTCTCTGCAGCCAGTCTCTCTTTTCTTGACCTCACTGGAATGTCACATGGTGCTACAATGAGAGCGACAGCACCCGAAGTATGACTGATGTGAAGGCTCTGTTAATAACAGCTTGCATGAGAAGAGCGCAAATACTCACAAACACATTCTCCCCCTCTCTCTCTCTCTCTCTCTCTCTCTCTCTCTCTCTCTCTCTCTCTCACACACTCACACACACACACACTCACACACACACACACACACACAAACACACACATTAACAGAAATATGGACATACTGTATGCACCACAGAGGAGTCATTCTTCCTGCCTTCGGGCACCTGGGCAGTGTCTCTTTAAAGTGATGCTGGCCACCACATAAATTCCTGCTGCTAAATTAAAAGGTTAAATGGGCTGGTAAAGGGTTGCGGGCTATCTCTCACTGCCCTCCTTTATTTTTCCAGATCGTACCTTATGGAGGTAAGATATTTAAGTCCTCCGAAGAAAAAAAGACAATAAAAAAGAAAATTGAAGTCAGGGTAGGAAAGTAGACCTTCCTCTCAGGTGCTGTCTTCACAATTCTTTGTTGTTGACAGTGGAATTTAGAGTGAACTGAGTGTG